CACACACACACACACACACAACATTAAAAGTGCTGTTAAATCTTCAGGATTCCCATTATCTGCTGTTGTGAAGAGATAAAAGAGAAGGAGTCCAGACCTCACTCATGGAGACGAAGCTGACCTCTGATCAGCTCTGAGAGGTGTTCGTTAACTTGATGCTGCCTGTTAGATGGCAAATGAAGCATCTCAGGAGGTGGATTCCTATAAACCGGAGGGAGCTGTTGCAGAAAAAAGGAGAGGCAATTTATCAAACTGCAAAAATTTGCTCTCAACACATTTCTAAACTCACATCAGACAGAAATTGAGGCGATAAAAGGACAGTGTAAATATCAACCTGTAAAGGTTATAGCCCAACCGCAGGTTTATTTATATCTTTTAAATATTTCCTGCTAAAATCTTTGGTGTGCACCCAGGCACAGCTTCAGCTTGGATCAACAAAAACACGGTAAGTGTGAGCTGTTCCCCTGAACAAGCATTCACAATTCCAGCTAAGCTGAAACCTGCTGAGACTAATGGAATGAGACCATCATGAAGGTAATTGTTGCTTTTCCTATTTTGACATGTCTGTGGTAAAAAGGGTCTTTAAAGTCTTAAAGGGATAGTTCACAGAAAAATGTACATTCACTCATCATCTACTCACCTCTATGCTGATGGAGGGGTGGGTGAAGTGTTTGACTGAACAAAACACTTTAGAAGTTTCAGGGGTAAACAGTGTTTCAGCCCAGGCCACTGCTTCTTCAGACATTATAATGATCATAGTAAACATTTTTTAACAGATCCACTGACATACGAGTGTCAGGGCTTGTGGACACTTGGATGACACCACACGAGCAGTAATGAGGCATGTTATGTTTTTTCTGTTGTTTTATTACGTCTGAAGAAGTGGTCACCATTGACTTCTATTGTATTGGATTCTGCTACAACACTGTTTACCACTGAAACTCAATAAAATAATAGAGAAATGCTATGTAGAGTCAGCTGTACGACTAGAGATCCACCTTTCAATCACATTTTAATAAGAGAGGGTAAAATAACAGGAAAGTACACTGAATTTTAATTAAAACTTTTTTGTCTTACACATAGGTGACACTTTCTTTTTGGTCGAGTATAATTACAACTATTCATTATTTTAAATATTTGTGTTTGAATCTTATGTTTGATCAGATATTTTATTTAATTTCACTTCAGTGCTTTTCAAACATTTTCTTGACGCAACTGCTCACTTTAAGTCTAGATTGGGACTGGACGAAATCCAGTCAAATTAAAAAGAAATACATTTAGCAATAGCACTTTGTGATGTCATGGTTTACCTATTTTGTCTTTATCTAAAATATCCTAAAAAAAACACAGTTGGTACAATATGATTAATAATAACTTTGACTTATTTTGCAAACTATAAACAGTAAGAACTAGGGACAGAATTGCAAAACCAGTGTTTAGTTACAAATGCTGTGGTTTGTGGCTTCACTTCATGCTTTACAGCCTTTGCAAATAAAATAAAATGCTGCTGCTACAACTATGAAACTCCCCAAAGCTGGTAAACATTTCATTAATAGTCACTTAACTCTGGATGAAAAAACAGTTAAGAAGCCTTGCCTGGAATTAATCAGTGAAGAAAACACAATGTTTCTGTTAAGTGTGAGTGTAAAAGACTAGATACGGGACATTCAGTTTTTCATTCTAACAAGTAAAGATGGGAATATGTCACAAACAGAAAACAATTGTTTGTTATGACAACAAATTGCATGAAAATAAGAAAAACCAGCAAGATAAATGAATCCACAAATGGAGCTTAGTGATTTTTTCTACAATGGCAGGATGATGTTGCAGAATAAAAGGAGTGTCGTGACACAATGGAGCTCTGTAGCACAATGGAATAAGATACATCAGGATATGAAAGCACAAACAAAGCTTGGTCAGATCAGTTCATTACTATGATGGATCTTTTCATGACATTTGTTGACAATGTGAAAGGTATAGAACTAAAAGAACGTGAGAGTCTCACCTGACCAGAATTGGCTGTGGAAAGCAGCATGCAGTCTGCGTTTTAACCACATCCTGAAGATTCAATAGGTTTGTCAGCAGTGTCCCGTGCCCACATTTGTCAATCTTTGTCACCAACATCTGTCCAGAAAAATATATTGCGCATTATAAATTATGGCAAGTGGATTTGCACACATTCTTGAGAGATTAAAGAGCACCGAGCTAACAAGAGATAACAGTGTAAAGAGTATCCTGATTCAGATGTTGTTCTAATTGATCAACTAATCCACAGCAGTAATTTTATGAGCCAACACAAGGGGTGGATGGTCTCGAGTAAGCAAACAAACCAGTTCTAGACTTTTTCTGACACCTACTGGCCAGTTAAGAATAATACACTATATAGTTTTTATTTGATTTTATCACATAATGGACATGAAGCTTTTTGTATGATCCTCCAATAGTTTTTCCAATTTTATCATTTCTTTGGTCAGAGGATACTGCTGATGCTTGAAATGAATGAATGGATAGGAGACCAATCATCTACGACAGTGATGCACTGAACAACTGTGCTCTTATGCTTCATCTTAGCCCAAGCAAAGCAACAACTTTTTAAATTTCATTCCAGCTCATGGCTTCATGCTTCCTTTATATTTCAGGAGAGGGAGTTAATCTTTTTTGAGAGCTGAACTGTCACAGCCTTAATAATGGTCAAAGTGTTTAATAACCTGTGAGCATGAATAATTGACGGCAGAGTGCTCAGAGAGTGGGGGTGCTTCATTATAATGCCATAGCGGTGGCATTTCAGAGGGGACAGCAGTTTTTAAATAGCTGAGTGGGAGCGTTCAGCATTAATTCAGTGTGGACCTAATGACGAGGATTTGGAAGAAGAATGAGTTCCGATGGAAAAGTCAAGGTAAAATCAGGTTCCTCTAAATATTTAGCAATAGCAAGTACTGCGGGTAATCTTCTGTTCATTAATAGTATCTATGCCTGCTAACCTCTTTAAATTGTTTTTCTCACACAGTGCTGGATGTGAGCTTGTTTTTGCTTCTGGCTTGGTGCGGTTCTGTGTTGTTTTTCCTGAGGTTACGAACACAGACAGTTATCCTCTAAGATACATCGATAAACCTGGGAACTCACTGTCCTTTTCCGAAGTCGAGCATCGTGAATATCTAAATTCTTTGAGGTGACTTTCCAGCTTCATGCAAATCAACATCCTGATCGGAAGTATTCTGATAACTTTTCGAAAGGCATGTATATCAGCAGATGGTTTTCGTGAATACAAAAAAAATATATAATACTCAAAAGTCTAAATAGCTCTTTACCCACACCTCTATTGGTTTCATGAAGAAGACTCCAAGATTTGATCATGATGTAAGAAATTAACATATAATAAATGCATACAATGTAATAAATGCAATTTTCTATTTATCTATTCCAAATGGTTCACTTACAATTTTTCCTGCCACTGTTTTTACTTTCAAGCCCAAGACTTCATTTGGTCTAGTGAAATAAGATATAATGGGCTGCAGATGTAACTATTTTATGAAAAAAATGTGAATGTGAATATCTTACCACATATGGACGTTTGATATCCTCACACATCTCCAGGGCAATGAAGTCGGCCTTCTGAAGACCAACGCTGCCATCAACCAACAGGAATGTCCTTACAAGACTAGACAAGAAACAAAGATCGATACTCAAGTTTACATGCAACAAAAACCAGGGTAATGGTAACTGCTGTGACTCTTCCAGACATTTACTGACACAGCTCCAAAAGGTGTAGGAGACCTGGCATGTCAACTGACTACTGTTTCTACTATAATTGTATGCAGTAAAATGTTTTTTTGTTCTTCTAAGGGAGTCAGTGACACAAGGCTGCTATAACCTGCTTAAAAAAACTGAATTCTGAGCCTTAAAGGACCAGTCTGACGTGTGTAGTGTTGTACGGGGTCACTCTGTCGCAGCCCGGTGTCATTTGGATGTGATTTAATAGAGGTAAACACAGTGGACAGCAGTGCATCATGGCACTGTGCCCTGGTGCAGCACTTCTCGAACCAATTTATCACCATGTATCCTGCAGCCGTCAGATGCTGCAGGGATGTAATGGAGTGGAGGAGAAGTTTGTCATACAGTGTGAGAGGGAGTGATAACTTCTATTTAGAATTATTTATATTTTTAACATTATTCCATCACTGCTGTGCATTTAATCATGCAATGTATATGATAAAATCACCAAAGTGACAGTAGATTGAGGCTGTTAAAGATGTACTTCTGTACGGTGGCCCCAAAGGACAAAGCACACGCATAATGGAATGAGAACAAACATCCAAATATAAACATGCACCAAATATGAAAATACACGCGACAATAGAAAAACAGCAGGAAGAACAATGGGCTTATTTTGGATGGATGACATTACATTCACTATTACTTTCCAGGCAAGAAAGTATTTTGGTAATGTAACACTGATGGCTGCTCATCCTGCAGCTTTGTGTTCGCACCTTCTAAACAGTTAAGTTCAACAACTTTCAAAGGTCTGTGAAAACTGCAGTCATTAATATGTTACCAAGTTGATTCATGTAAGAATTTTCTTTGGCACTTTTACTTCCCAAAGGCCTAAAACCATGAAGGCTGCTCTGTCATGGTCTTTGAGAAAAATCTCTTCCCAACATCGGCAGCATAGTTTAAGTCTGACTCGTGATAGAAAAGTTACTTTTAACTTTGTGTATTCATTACAAGATAGATGGTCAGCGACTGTTTTACTTTGGCCCTGCAGAAATAAATCATGCGTGTATGAGGAGTATTAATTCCCCCCGTTTGTGCTGAGACCACACAATGTGACTCTAGTGTACACACGCCTCTCCAGGCAGCGAACTGAAGCCAAAGTGAATATCTCACTTTTTCCTTGTGTAAAGATATGGCTCCACCATATCCACGAAGTCTTTGGGTGCTCTGTACCCATAGCCTGGCATGTCCACGATGGTGAAAGCTTTTCCCACTCTGAAGAAGTTCATTTTCTTTGTGTGACCCTACACACAGAGAGACAGGTAAAAAAAAAAGACAAATAATATGTATGAAATAATAAAACAAAGAATAAATATCTAAACGCAGGTAAACAAGAAGACAATTCAATTAACTTATTTTTCAAAATCTAACTTCAACGATATTCTCTGACCGTCAAATCAAGTTTTATTACTAGTAATGGAAAGATTAATTTCATGCTTGTATAGGTTTTTATAGCCGCCACAAGTTATGATGCAGATTCAAATTTCAATCTGCAGATGCTGCACTTTGCTTTTGGAAAAGATTCAGAGGAAAACAAACTGTGTTCTTTCTTGTTGGTTTGTTCCTGTCTGCCGGTGCTTTTAAGCGTAGCAGTACACTGACTTCACTAATTAAATCAGCTACTGTGAGCTATACAAAACTGAATTATCAAATTTTGGTTGATGAAAAAATGGAAATACTCATTACAGCTACATTGTGACTGAGATTATATTTAAAAATGATAAGTTTCTGGTACATGGTAAAATAAACAACATAATCCAAGTTTCACTGAATATGTAGTTACTACCCTTTGGCTTTGGACATGCTAAATCCTGTAAGCGAAACAGGATGTTGGTTCAGGACACTCACTGGAGTTTTGGAGACTCTGACTTCGACCTCAGGCGTCAGGGAGAACAGAGCTTTGATGAGAGACGACTTGCCCACATTACTTCTGCCGATGAAACAAACCTGGAAATATACACAAGAGGTCCAGTTTCTGTTATCTTGTGCTAAAACAGAATTTAAAACAATATGTTTATGTCTCAATGGCTGAAACTCTTCTTAGTAATTCAGTGATCTGAACTAGCGATGGATTATTATTATGTCCATCAATCCACCCATCTTCTTGCACTTATATGAGGAAAGGTCGAAGTGGCAGCAGGCTCAGCAAGGTGTTCCAGAAGACCCTCTCCCCCAGAGTCTTCCAGGGTCTCCTGAGAAATCCTGATGTACTCCCAGCTCAGATGAAATATAAACACCCTACAGCAGTTCAGCCCAGACTGAGGAAGCTCATTTTAGGCACTTGTATCCACAATCTTATATCAGTCACCAAGAGCTCATGATCAAAGGTAACGGTAAGAATGCAGATCTGTTAATCAAATGATTTGCCTCTGACTCAAATCCCTCTGCAACACAACGGTCCAGCACAATGCCCTCATTAATGCTGACGGCACCAATCTGCTTTTCCATCTCCCGCTCCATCCTCCCCTCACTCGTGATCAAGACCCAGAGATACTTAAAATCCTTCACTTGGTGCAGCAACCCCCCCCCCCCCCCCCCCCCCCGACCCGGAGGGAGCAATCCACTGTTCTCTGGCAGACAGCCATGGCCTCAGACGTGGAGGTGCTGATTCCCATCTTCTCATCGTCTGATGAGGTCAACAGAACCACATTGTCTGCAACGAACAGGGATGCAATTCTGAGGTTTCCCGAGCTGGACAAACACCCGCCTTGAAATCCTGTCTGTGAATATCACATAATCAACTATTATTATTATTAGCATTAATAGTATTTATACATTATTTGATTACAGGTCTTATTTTGTTTTTTCTCATTCAGTTAATTCTTCAGTGAACATTTTAAGCCCCACACCTGCTCTGACTGTCACGGACTGCTGCCATTGGCTGCTATGGTTTTTTCCGTTGCTGTACCAGTGACGGCCAGGCCAGGGCTCATCCATCTCTCTGACACAAGACAGATGGATGGAGGTTGGTGCTGCCAGTAAGCTACAAATACATCATCCTCTGATGGAGCAAAGGGACAGAATGGTAACTAACTCGGCATGTCAAAGAGACCCTGTCGTCCTATCAACACAATATTCCATTCTGAACCCTCCAGTGAACACTACACTCTATAAGGTTATAAATCTGCTCATTTATTATCGAGTGTCAACCCGTGCTTAATTATGTATGTGGCTCCAGGAGGGTAAAGAGACTTTACACTACATTTTTTAGACTTTGTGTCTAGCTTTTGGGACAAAGAAGGACAACGTGAACCTCAATATGTTCAACACAGACTGAAAAGAATGCCTTCTCTACTCAACTGTTCATCTTGTAAACTTAGGGTCACACTGGCCAATTGTTACCAAACCCGACCATTGCTGCCAATCTGAAGGCGATACAGTTTAACACAGGGAGGTCTGCTCACAGCTGGACAAAAAGAGAACTGAAAAGAGATCAAACTATAATTTCCCATCAACAGGGATTCTCAATCGCATTCGCTCCGTGAAGTTTCCACACACTTGGACTTGCAGGAAAATATTTGATGCAAAGTGGGAAACAGATGTGAGCAATAAAAAAAAAGGTTTGTGCTTCAAATGAAAGAGATGATTCAAATCTGTAAACTCATTCTGTACATGTATTAACTATCAACTTCTGAGACTGAAGATTTGGTGGCACTGTCCTCTGTGGTCCCTGTACAAACACTTTCCCCTCCATAAAAACACAAAAGAAAAGAAAATGTGATAATCTAAATTGCAGTTTACACCAAAAGGTGCTCTCTCTAATTACCAGTTAAACAGGAACGTTTAGTGGGCTAATCTTTAACAGACATTAGTCTTTTAACAGCCATGCATTAAAAAACACACTACACTAGAAAGTTAAATTGGAGTAACATCTTCATTAGCCTGAAGGTTCCACAGACACTAAAACCGTGCACTTCAGTTCAAATAACCGCTGCTTTCAGAAATGCACTGAACTCGAGCTGATCTCCTAACATTCTCCAGAGGGGGCTGTATCTGAGATGAAAAAGTGGCACCATACATGCAGAAGACACGGATGAAGATGTGAAGATTTTGGTGATAAGAGCCAACGCTGGTGTTGATGTGCTGTCAACAAGAAACGTGTCACGTTCCGTCTCTGCACCACCCCTCACCTGAATGCTCGAGAGTTTCTAGGGTTGTTGTGAACACGTCTGAGCGGAGAATCTCCTGCAGCTTCGTCCATGTGTGAACGGCAAGCTCCAGAGAAAGTCTTCGCCCAATTGTGCGGACAGTGTCTGGAGCTCATGTCTGAAAACAGCTGAACAGTTGAAAACAACTCTCAGCTAACAAATCTCGATCGCCAGATAAACAGCGTCGACACTCTGTTCTCATTGTCATCTATTGTCTACTTGCATTTATGTGATTGGCCGATGCAGCGACGTGCCAGATAATGGTGCAGTGGGGTAAATATTGTGGTTCTGCTGAGTGAAGAGCATTCATTTTACTTAAGCAGCGCAACAAGAGCAATGCTTCAGAAAGTTAGCGGCTCATCGTTTGGGACGGTTGTTTTATTAAGAGTAAAGATACGCGAGGTCTCATTCCTCAGCCTGTTCTTCACAACAGATCTGTCAGTGTGCTGTGCCACAAGAAGTCTACAGAACTCAGACCTGTGGCCCACATTACCATCATCCATTTAGTTCTACGGAGCTTTTTTCATCTGCATATGCGCAAGAAGGGTGTGGCAGTATAAGACGTATTCATCAGGTTGTTCCCAAAAATGAAAAAATTAATGTGTTCAGATCTGTTCTGGTGAACCAACCAACATTTATTCTTTCTTTGTATAATTGATCATTTAAAGAAATCTTTGTTTTGTCCTGTTACTGTACTGCTACTGTTATTGTGTATAGTTAGAATTATATATTTATACTCACTATTTAAAGCAGGCATTTAGTTTTAATCTTCAACTGTAAATTGAATGCACTCCAAAAAGTTAGACCATCATGCACTGCAGCCTGTTGCAAGTGCAGTCAGAGTGGCAGAAGAAGAGGCACCGTCACACTAGACAGAGATTGAGCAAAGAGAGATACAGGTTAACTGTCCTGTTTTGTTTCTGGTTCATTTTCTAACCGACTGCACTCAATAATTAGTTGGCGTCCCAACACTTTTGAATGCAGGCAAGTATATTTACTGTGGGCATATCACTACTGCTATCGAATAAAGGCATATCTCACTCAGACAACAGATTGGGTGCTAATGTAATCTGCTAATGTGATTTTCTTTTTGATTTCTGATCCGTTGGGAGAGCCTGGCGAGCAGCGCGCTCCTCAGACTCCTCAGCTGTGCAGTGGCTCGTCTCCTCTGCTGACTGAGCAGCAGGATTTCAAAACTGATTCTTAAAACGCCCGCTTAGAGCACATTAGAGAAACTGAGGAATATATGTTTGTGATGCATTAAGTAATGCTCGCTCGCTTAGGAAACAGTTGAATGTGAGCTGTGACAACAAGGCTTCAAAAGCCAAACTGCTATTGTATGTATTTTGTCCCGCATGTTGTGGAAATGCTCTAGAGTTTGTTTATGTGACAAAGATAATTGATAATCTCTGGTGCATGTTAATGTGGTAGTGTAACTGAAATGTATCAGCAGCTGTCTGCTGTTTCAAGGATATATCAGGAGCTGACAAGAGGTACAATATGAGGAGAGAAGGTGGTATCACCATTTTCTGAACAGAGCACAACATTTATAACAACCCATTAAAACTTTCCCTGCACTTTGAATTACATTATACACTTGAGCTGCTTTCAGACCTGCACTGAAGTTTGGACATTCTCATGAGTGTGAATGTGAGAACGCAAATGTGAGAGTCAGTTGCTCTGCACATTTTCCAGAACTTTTCCCGCCAGCCTCTTGTGAAATGTCCCTTGTCAGAATACGACAGGAATGTTTCCGCAAAGTTCTCAGCCGGTCAGCGGGCTTGTTGATGACATTTCTACAATGTGACAGATGCAAAAATGGAGGCATACAAATATCTCAGGATGAAAAAGAGGTGCGATACATGTAGAAGATTGTGATTGAACGAAGATGTCATCTTGGAAAGACAATGAGATTCAAAATCTACTTGGGATAAGGCCTGGTGCCGTTGTTGAAGTGCTGTAAATGAAACACTGTGCTTTATGACCCTGATAATCTTCTGCAGCATCAGGACTAAATTTCCCATACAGATTTCTGGAGTTAATGTCTCAAAACTGCTATACAGTAATTCAGTGGTATAGTAGGGCTTAGTGCTGGAGCTGTGCAACAGAACACACTCATTTTCTCAGCACTGAACATGAACAAGTTGTTTAGAGTACGACTGAGGCTGCCCACTCACCTCTGGCTGGTGCAGCGCAGGTATATGGTGCATCCTCTCTGCAGAGATGTAGTAATCAATTGCATGTGATGGTGAAGAGCAGAAAAGCTTTTCTGCTTTAATCATGTCCTCCACACTCGGATGGAAGAGCTGGAACTGTGTTCTGTCCACGGACCTGGCAGTTTTAGTTTCATATCGTTAAAAAGGAAATCAGTTCAAGGAATAAAGCAAACACTTGAGCATGAGTCAAATGTTAAAGCAGTGCTAAATATATATATATATATATATATATATATATAAACCACAGTACCTGTCCAGGTATGCATCCAGCTCACTGAAGGGGTACAGTAGGCTTTGGAGTTTGTTCGGGGGGAGCTTTGTGGCACTCTGCAGGGAGGCCAGTTTGTGTGCACTCAGCCGGGAAACAGCCGACACCTGAGTCACAGGCTGGAGCCACAGTCGCAGCCGGGGACAGAGCATGTTGCCCTGCAGGTCTCAGAGCTGCCTGTGGGGTCATGAACGGACAACCAGTACCACACTGAGAAATAAGCACAGCCACTCTGGTAGATTTAAAGAGATTCCCTGAGGACAACAGCTTGTGTGACGAGTGGGAACAGTTTCTGCATTGCCCTTATTATGATGAGTTAATAAACTTAACCACGTGAAATGAAATGATTCCATGAAAATGTCTGGTCAAAGTTCAGGAGCGTTCTGCTGCACGGATGAGAACAGAGTGGCTGAGTAATTTGGATGCTCACATGTTGGCTACCTTTGTTTCTAAATCAAAAATCATCTTAAAATCTAAAAAAACAACCATCAGGATGATTGATTTATTTACTTTTGTTATTAATGCTGCGCTTCTTTCTTTTAAAAAAAAATCCTTTTCAAAATAATGTCCGGGTTGACATGACACATGTGGGGGAAGATCCTCCACTGGAGAGACAAGTTAAAATGCTTCATTAACGAAATGTATCCGGCAGGCTGACGTTGTTGATGTAGTATGATGATAACCATCAGCGTTACACAGAGACAACACTTTAAAACAACTCACCGGATCTCCAGGGTTGTCTTCCCTCAGTGACTGCTCCAGCTGAGTTTAACTCCAGCTTAGAGTTCACATGTATCTGTTAGCATCGGTGCTCCATTAGCCGCTGCACGTCTTCCACGATGAGTGCAGCGCTTAAATGAGTCCGACTGTTTGCTTCTTCTAAAGGTTCCGCTTCAAACAAATACACATGTCGCTCCTTCCGTCATTTGTTTGAACCATTGAATTGTGAACAATAGTCGTGATCCTTATGAGGAGTTGTAATGTCGTCATATGAACGTGTTACTGTGACATGTAATCTTCCGTGGCATGGTGTTGTTCTCATGCATCAAAATGCCACTTTGAGTTTTTCAGTCAAAAGAAAATGTTAATGTCTCCAAACGTGTCTGTGTCCAAAACAATGAGGTTCTGAGGCGGGTGAGGCGTTTTGAATGGGAGAGGAGCTTCTAAGATATTATTTACATAATACATATCATAGATTTATATTTTTTATATATTTTTTTATTATAAGACTTTTAAATCAAAATAACTTTATACAAAAATCTATTTATTTATGAATATATTAGCATGTTTAATTGCGTTATATTTTTGATCTCAGAAGCATTGTGTAGTAAGAGCACTTTAGTCCAGGTTATACCATGATGAAGCATGGACGTGTGCTTGGATTATGAGCATGGTCCAAGATCAATATCTTAAACTTTTCTTTCTACTGATACTTACAGGGAATGGACACAAGAATAGTGTATGAGTGGAAGGAACATGAGCTGTTTGTTTATTTCCTCATTAGATTAGTTCACTGATTTACTTTAAAGCCTCAAATTGTGAATGGATTTGGAGGTTGTTGTTCAACATATTACTTGTTATCCTTCTTATCATATGTATAATGTTGAAAAACAATGTGTTCAGGGCAAATTCTTGCCCTTTGGCGACAAACCAATATTTGGATGTGGGAGCAAAATTTTATGTATATAATCAGGATCCGACAAGCACACATTTTTTAAAATCCAAAATGCCACAAAAGGGTTACTTTATGCATTTTTTATTTAGGACTGCTCTAATACATTATATATGAGCAGACGGCGTGTTCAGACTTTTGAATAGACCTGTCACACTATGTCACATCCCACCACTGTTTCCTCTGGAGATGTCAGAAAGTGTTTCCTTGTGACTAAAGTGAAAGAAAATGAAGTGAGGCAAAAACAAGAGTGATGCAATTACATCTCTATCCCAGTGCTGTTCTAGGTCGTGGGATATAATCTGTGAGCTAGAATCCTCAGCTTCATTCTTCACATTGATGCATGTCTGGCAGAACGTGTACAGAAACATTCCTGATGTTGCTCTTTCGTTCCAGTTGCCTCGCATACACAGGGAAAGGTATAGCTCCAGCTGTCACATACATCCTCCATCACCCTCTTGGTGGGGATTATTGAGGATTATAATACTAAGGTTTGCATAGAGCCCGCCAACAAAACGTCTTCAGAAATGTAGTTGTATGAGGTGACTGTGATAAGAGTGACTGCGAGCTTCTCTCGCCCTCTGCATTCTTTTACACTGACACTCCCACAAGGAAAATGGAGTCAATAGTTAGGTTCAAGTGGTGGTCGGGTTTCACAGGTTTATGAACGCAGAGCGGTTAGCCGCCTCCTCACAGTTTCCAAGATTATTCACATTCCCTCTTATAGAGCAGAAGGATCTGTTCCGATGTTTATCCAGCTTTGATTAATAGCTTGTAAAGCAATGCTTTCTGTGTGAAATGTCGAACATTTGGCAGTCTCAGGTGAGTTCATTTTAAGCTAAGCACTCCAAAATAAATCACTGTTATCTACATGTCTCCACAGTTTGTTGAGCCCCTTTCTCTCCACTTGGTGGCAGTGCAGTCTGCAGAATCAGCACTCTGCTTGCGGGCTGGGGTGTTAAAACACTCCTTGAACCACTATGTGCCAATTCTCCCTCTGCTCCATCTGGGTTTTATGACCTGATGTGATTCATTATATGTTTACTCACTGAACAAATTAATTCACTGATAGCCTATCCAATTACAGCTCACATATTCTCCCTGTCCTTCTGCGCTAGAGTCTTTTATGCTTACGTGCCATGTGGAAATGCATGCACCTTTTTCATTCATCACCCATTTGAGACAATGTAGACTCATATTAACTGAGTGCCTTATTAAAGTGGAAAATTGAATACATAATTGATTCACCCTCTCCGTCTCTGTCTCTTCCTTTTATTACATATGCATCTGGTGCATCATCAAATGTTTTGCACGTGTTTCACAGTTAATTAAATATCTTCAAGTGAAACAATCATAAAAAAAAGAGTAGTTCTGCACTCCAGGATTAATTAGAAAATCACAGACCATAAGCATTACTTTAACATTTATTTCTTCACAGAGAGATGAGAACAGAAGGAATTGTCACCATGGACAGCTGATGGCCTGTTTAATAGGTGGACATTTTCAGCCAGTGGCCTTTTATATGGCTTTCAGCACAACAGAGCCCTGGACAAAGCCTTTAAACCTTACAAAACCACACTTTACTGGGGTTTTTAAGAGGCACTTGGGTGGCAAACAAGACAGTGAGGGATATATAGCAGCATAGGGGATAGATAAATGGTGCAAAGGTATAAGCTCGAGGGACGGGAGTGGAAAACGGAGGGGAGGGTGGACGTGGGTGCGCTCATGACTCCACCACCCCATCCTTCACGGTGAGCCAGAGGATCAAATGCCAGACCAATCAATCGTCCACCAAGCAGACATCTATAGCACAGGCCATGATGGCATTTACCTCCAAGGGGTGCATATCAATAAAATAAAAAAAAGATATCATACAAAATTGATTGTCCCCAAACAACCTCCCCATCCACACCATCCAACCAGCCACTCACCATTATCATCATCATTTGTTCTTTTGCTCTTTATTCGCTCTCTGTCTTCCTTGTCTTCTATCCGCCTCTAATCTCTTTTTTTTCCCTCTCTGTCTGCGAACCTTCATTGTGGCTTGACTGATGTCCAACAGACAGGTTATGCAGGGTTTGCAGGCACCATGTAGCAGCAACTTGAAGTGGGTGGAAAATGTCCAGCTGCAACGCTAACCAGCCACCCACACATTCCAACTGATGCCGCGTTAATCTGACACTGAATTATCACAGAGGTTGACCTTAGTGACATTTCTAGATCCATTAAATCATTCATTTACATGTTAACCAGCGAGGCCTAACCCAGCCCCCAACACACAACCGCCCACCCCCTACTCAGCCTCCTGCCAAGATGTGACAGGGCCACAATGGGACGTGCGCTGCCAGAATACCAAAGCCCCCCTTGTTCCTTAGTTTTGTTTGTCCGGGAGGATGAAGTACAGAGGAGTTTATCAAGTCGAGGGGGTCAAACTGTCAATACGCCTCATGCAAACACACACAGCTGTCACATACACTCGCCACAAGGGCAAAAAACAACCAAAGATTAACACAGGCTGTATTTCTTCTGTGTACCCATCTGGCAGGGTTGAAAGCTGTCAGGCCCAACACCTGTGGCAACACCCTCCATCTATCAGTGGTTAGAGTGTGGAGAAGTGGAGAAATCTGCTTGTGGAAGCGAATGCTGCATCAGTTAATCCTGCTCAAGCTTGTTACCTCCATTGTTTTCCCTCATTCGTCTCTTTGTCTCTGTTAAGTAAACAGACCAATCAGAGGGATGGCTGCCCTCGCTCTTGTAGAGAAGGAAAATAAGGTGATTCACCCTGCTGTAACCCACACATCAATAATATTAATCGTGCTCCTCACCAGACTCAAGCTTAAAAACGAGCCTCGTCGGCTGCACTGACTCTTCAACGTTTAACACCAACTGCAAAAGTATTAATCAGGAGATATGAGCTGCACAGTTTTTTTCTGTTTAGGATCCCACCAGGTCATCGCTTGTGTCTTTCCTTGTTCTTCTCTGTCCCTCTCTAAGCATCTCTCATGAATACAGCATAAATATTTTGGCAGGTGGTGTTTGGAGGATATTAGAGCACAAGCTCAGAGCGCTCAGGGATATCGATTTTGCTTTAGCAGCCAAGAACCATGACTCTACTGGCATCAATACATCAGGGAGAGGAGGGTGAATGAGGAGGAATGACCTTGAGCCAGGAAGCAATCTTGACAAATAAAGCCCCTGGAAGGAAACAAAACAGTGAAGAAGTCAGGGTGCAGGAACTCAAGGGTGACACTGGGAGGTCTGCAGAAATACAATAACCCCCACCCATCAAGGACTTGGAGCATTTTGAAGTTTATTCTTTTTTTTTTCCAAATGTTAAAGAAGTAGGAAATATTCCATTCGGAAAAGACATTGAAATATCTGTTACGGCTGGATTTCTTTTACTTCTGCAAAGACAAGATTGCAGAGGATCCTACATTTCAACTGTGCACTGTGGAGCCTGACTGTTTAATGTATATATAGATAAATGAAGCATCGCCTCCCACAGGTACAAAAATGAAACAAAAATATGGCTGCAGCTATCTTGTGCTGGTGACATCATTTGGAAATATATACATATATGTTTTCCATTAAAAATTAAAAAGCAGGTTTGTGTTTTTGGTCACATATCATTGTTCGTGTTCACGCTGTAACACAAACCCTTTGTAATATGACAGGCAGCGTGTAGACGGGTAATAGTTCTGCCTGAAGAGAGAGGAGAGCAGAGGTAACAACATGGATGGAGTGCTCCAGCGAAAGGTCTGCAGCTTTTCCTGAAAAAATTATGAATCATCATGTGACAGAGTGCTGCATTGGCCAAGCAAATCTTGCAAGCAAACTGCAGAGCACACGGATCTTAATGTATTTCTGCTGTTTACCTGAAAGTGAAAGATAAAATAATTCCTGCTGATAAAATAGAATTCATGAACAGCTGTATAGTGTCTGATAAGCCTTTAAACTAATGGATCTGCTCATGTAGGTTTGTTGCCAGAGTGACACACTGACAGTAGGGATTCCATTGTGACTGAAAAAGACCCAGTTCACATGACGTGCTGCTCAAGAGGATAAAAGAATTTGTATCTGTTTCAAATGGTCCTGTAAAGCAAAGTGAAAGAGAGGAGACACCTTATCATTTATATATCAAGTTCAATTTTATATATCAAGCGGGTCTCACTTGGAAGGCATTTGTAGCATATCGTTATCGGCCCTGAC